CCCCCCCCTCAAAATTTGTATCAGCCCCCGCCGTATCACACACCAAAACCTGTATCAGCCCCGCTGTATCACACACCAAAACCTGTATCAGCCCCTGCCGTATCACACCCCAAAACCTGTATCAGCACTCTCCGTATCAGCCCGAAAAACCTGTATCATATATTTTCTGTAAATTTTTCGTTTTTCAATATTTCAAAAGAAAAAGAGATCATACGATGGTAGCTTTTATTAGTAAGTATGTAATAAACAGAATAAAACACGCCTTTTTTCCATTTCACACCCAGTATCAACCCGAGACAACAATATCATCCTGAGGGCCGATATTGGTCGAGGGTTGATACTGGATGTGATATGGAAAAAAAGGCATGTATTATTTTCTATTTATTACATACTTACAGATAAATACGGGTTTTTTGTATATGCAATACGACACAATTGCTCTACCCCATATCAGCCCTCGCCGTATCACACCCCAAAACCCGTATCAGCCCCCGCCGTATCACACCCCAAAACCCGTATCAGCCCCCGCCGTATCACACCCCAAAACCTGTATCAGCCTGCAAAACCCATATCACACCACTTTTGTATTTTTTTTCGTTTTTCAATATTTCAAAAAGAAAATTAAGTCATAAGATAGTAGTTTTTATTAGTAAATATGTAATAAACAGAATACAACAGGCCTTTTTCCATATCACACCCAGTATCAACCGTCGACCAATATCAGCCCTCGTGCCATAGGCCCTTGGGCTGATATTGCAGTCTCGGGTTGATACTGGGTGTGATATGGAAAAAGGCCTGTTTTATTCGCTATGTAATAAACTGTTAATATGAACACATTTAAGTGGTTGTCTTATTTTAGTGGTTTTCACACTCTAATTACTGCTCTAAATCAATAACGATGATTGTTCATTGCCCCAATGGAAGATTGTCTTCTGTCGCATATTTTGTAGCAATTTCCTGTCAAAGTTTCATGATATGCTTAATTTTGACGGCACTAAAATAAGTATATATGTTGACAACAACTAAAGAATTTAGTTTCATTTCAGGCACTTGAACCAGCGCCAGACACTCCTAACGGTCAGACAGACACATGAAGAAACTCGGTGGAAAATGTTCTTTATTTATCGTTTTTATTTGTTACCGTGTGAAATTCCATGATATCCAGATTTTATTTCAAGCATATCAGACATATATCTCGTGTGAATAGTGCTCACCAATGGTCACAGTCCGTCTTTAACTTTATGTTGCATAATTATAAGAAGGGCAAGAATTCTTATAAGATTCTTCTTGGTTAGGAGTGTACCTTCATCTGAGAAGTTCTGTAACACAGAATAAACTATAATTTGTCAGAAGCCCCCAGTTACATAAACATTCCTTAACTATTTTTTTCGTAGGAAAACATTATTGGAGTTGATAAAAAATTGAGTAGCTGGAGGTCCTGTTTCAGCACTTTAAATTTTTCGATATTGCTGAATGCATATCACAATTGTGTTGATGTCATCTTTCCCCCCACAAATATCAGTAATGGACTGGTGACTGCGTCCCTGAAGTGTATTTAAGAAATGTGACGGGGACCACCAAGTTCAAACTGTTTTACAATAATACCAGTAGAGAAATAGATTTTATACTAAAGTTTATTATATAGCCACGAACGTATGATATCCTTAAATATTATATATGGTATATTTCCTGCTTTATTAAAGGGAAACTACCACTATGGAATATATATATAATTTATGAAGCATACTAAAACTGGTCAATTAAGGCACTGAAACTGGTCACTTAAGGCACAAAAACTGGTCACTTAAGGCATTGAACCTGGTCACTTAAGGCAAAAGGTCCTTCATTTCAGATGTACTTATGGAATATCCAAAATTATTAAGAATGTTCATAAAAAATCGCAAAGAAACATTCGTAAAACTAGGGTCTGGTTGTGTCTCCCTGATATTTCACAATTGATTGTTAATATTAATTCAATGTGTTAAATTTGTTGTTTTTTCGTTGTTTCCATGTAGTCAAAACACTGTTACTAAGTAAGTAAAACTGACACAAATATCACAGTCATGTCTATATATAGCAGTATACAAGTATTGTTAACATGTAGTCAAAACACTGTTACTAATTAAAACTGACACAAATATCACCGTCATGTCTATATATAACAGTATATAAGTATTGTTAACATGTTGTCAAAATACTGTTACTAAGTAAGTAAAACTGACACAAATATCACAGTCATGTCTATATATAACAGTATACAAGTATCGTTAACATGTAGTCAAAAAACTGTTACTAAGTAAGTAAAACTGACACAAATATCACCGTCATGTCTATATATAGCAGTATACAAGTATTGTTAACATGTAGTCAAAATACTGTTACTAAGTAAGTAAAACTGACACAAATATCACCGTCATGTCTATATAACAGTATATAAGTATTGTTAACATGTAGTCAAAACACTGTTACTAAGTAAGTAAAACTGACACAAATATCACCGTCATGTCTATATATAGCAGTATACAAGTATTGTTAACATGTAGTCAAAATACTGTTACTAAGTAAGTAAAACTGACACAAATATCACCGTCATGTCTATATAACAGTATATAAGTATTGTTAACATGTAGTCAAAACACTGTTACTAAGTAAGTAAAACTGACACAAATATCACCGTCATGTCTATATATAGCAGTATACAAGTATTGTTAACATGTAGTCAAAATACTGTTACTAAGTAAGTAAAACTGACACAAATATCACCGTCATGTCTATATAACAGTATATAAGTATTGTTAACATGTAGTCAAAACACTGTTACTAAGTAAGTAAAACTGACACAAATATCACCGTCATGTCTATATATAGCAGTATACAAGTATTGTTAACATGTAGTCAAAATACTGTTACTAAGTAAGTAAAACTGACACAAATATCACCGTCATGTCTATATAACAGTATATAAGTATTGTTAACATGTAGTCAAAACACTGTTACTAAGTAAGTAAAACTGACACAAATATCACCGTCATGTCTATATATAGCAGTATACAAGTATTGTTAACATGTAGTCAAAATACTGTTACTAAGTAAGTAAAACTGACACAAATATCACCGTCATGTCTATATAACAGTATATAAGTATTGTTAACATGTAGTCAAAACACTGTTACTAAGTAAGTAAAACTGACACAAATATCACCGTCATGTCTATATATAGCAGTATACAAGTATTGTTAACATGTAGTCAAAATACTGTTACTAAGTAAGTAAAACTGACACAAATATCACCGTCATGTCTATATAACAGTATATAAGTATTGTTAACATGTAGTCAAAATACTGTTACTAAGTAAGTAAAACTGACACAAATATCACCGTCATGTCTATATATAGCAGTATACAAGTATTGTTAACATGTAGTCAAAATACTGTTACTAAGTAAGTAAAACTGACACAAATATCACCGTCATGTCTATATAACAGTATATAAATATTGTTAGCTTCATGGAATATTATCGTGATCTGTTGTAAGGTTATGATGACTCCAGTTTACGAGAACAGTGATTACTGAGTGATTGTCAATGTATGTTATCGCCACTTGTCAAACATTCTGTTGCTTATTCTATATATCCAAGGACGAAAAACGAGCTCCATGTAGTGGCCATTAGCTACATATTTCAGGGTGTAGATGGGCTGTAAATAATGTGCATGCAAAGTTTATTGTGGAACCATCCTAGCGATGGCTTGGCACGATCCTTCAGAGAGAAAAAATGAATTCTAGAAAGTATGTAGTGCTATGACAGAAAAAAAGAGCTTTTAAGTTATTCTTAGTTTATTACTAAACTTTTGCTTCTTTTTAGAATTTCGGAAACAAAACAAAATTTAATTGTTATTGATATTACTGAAAAGGGTTTTAGTATAAAAATACAATGCTTAATATTAAAATCGGCTTCTAAAAACACAAACAATACTTGGTAGTTGATATGAAAATCAACGGTTTATTTTAACAATTAAAATTTTGTAAAATTTATAAAAAAAAAAAACGCCACTTAATTTTACTTGATATTATTTAACTATACATAGAATCAATCGCTATTTCTGACAACCTTCAGTAAATAAATAAAATAATCCATTTGAGGATTTGTTTATGTTTGCAACTGTTTATTTGCTTAGGTGGTTGCTATGCACCTTGATTTTGTTTGTTGACAGGTGAAAATCTGTTTATTTCTGCCCGTCTGACCAATGAAAAATGATCTACTTATATCATTGCAACGTAGTCCATATTGTGTTCTTGACATACTGATGTATTCCCTGTCAAACATGTTACTAACAGATTCACTAACTTGTGTTCACGGAGAGGTTACATTATAAAGACTTGTACAATGAAATACCCCAGTATATATATCATATATGTATTGTATTTATCCTGTAATAAGCCCAGAAGTCGAACACATAATACCTACTCACGAGTAAGGGATAGCTTATTACAGGCCATTGAATGGCATTTGTTTTCTTTTTTTACTGAACTGCAATAGCTATGGGCATTTTTTTATCAACTTTATCAATGTTAAACCAGTATACTTTATCTTGAATAGGTTCCTTTTAATCATTACATGAGTGAACAACTACAGGTTTGAAAAATTATCTCTTGCCATATACAAGTGTTAAATCTTGTGTTAGTGAGTCTTATGTTTTTTAAGTTTTTAAATGCTTGTTTTTGTAAATTGACATTTTTTTATATAATATCTTGACTTTTATAAGAGTATTCCAGAAAAATAATAAATGTTAAAAATGATACAACTCTAACTCAGTTTGATTCGTCTGTTTGTTGGCCAATCGGCACCATCAGATATGTTAGGGCCGTTACACAGTAAAACCAGATACCGGGGGCCCCTATTCATGAAACCGTTCTCATGCTCAAGCATGGATTCTGTGCTCAAACCAACTTTCTTGTAATTTGATTAAATCATGGCAAACGATCAAAAAGTCAAACGTAAACATTGAAAACAGTATTTGGGTTTATTAATCTTTTAAAACGTTTTCCAAATCATTGACAAAGAAAAATTTGTTTTATCAATTTATAACCAGAATAAATTAGGCTTGAGCACAAACTCCATGTTTGAGTATGAGAACAGTTTCATGAATACGGGCACTGTATACGTCACTGATAAAATGGTATGGGTCAGAGACAAACGTAGGCCATTTCGGATTAGAAGCGGTACGGTAGACAATCTGTAGGTCATTGTATGGACCTCTTACACCACGTTCGTGTTCCGCCTCTTGATTCCCATTGTGGACATTAAACTTGGGTAACAGAATGTATTGTCTATGTAACAAAAGTTACACAAAGGGCACATCAATTTGTAGATGAAAACCAGATTACAACAGATCGTGTGTCTGTATAGTCCATGACTGAAGTCAAAGTAAATTAGACGAAGAATGAGATATTTTCTCAGCATTGCAAATTCAACGCGTCACAAAATGTGTTGTTTGAGAGGGACTTCAAATTTCAGAAACTACAGACAACGCACGCCGTCTGAACCTTCAATCCAGTACTGGGCAGAGTAGCATATTGCTGAGAGACACCGCCAATTATACTTAGCAATAAGATCTATTCCTGAGAACCTACAAATGTAGCTCAAAACTGACATCTTACAATATAATGTATTTTTGAGCGACCGCGAAAACATACACTATTCTTAAAGAAATGCAAAAAAATACACGGGTAAAATACTCATGAGAGATCGTGAAAATCTTTTGGCAGAACAATCTCATTTCTTGTAGACGTATTCCTGACAGCCTACCGCATCCTCGATACTCCGAGGGTTACACTCTGCACAGAGGATGTGCCTGTCGTGAGTTATGACAGTAAGCAAAAGTATCCAGGAAAGCCTGAACACCCCATTTACCAAATTATAATACACTCGGCTGCGAGGCTCCCTGATACTGTCATAAAGAAAGCAAAATAGCATGTTCCTGAGAGTCCCTGAAAATGACACTGTCAAAAAGTATATAGCATATCCATGAGAGACAGCGAAAATGACACTGTCAAAATATTCCTTGTAGACAAAGTGACACTGCGTTTAACCAAAGCTGTCTGCAACGAAGAACATAAAGAAGATGTTGTAGATGATCCTATAGAAATAATTGATTTGAGAATATGTTTATTGTTTGATTTGACGATATGTTTATTGATTTGACGATNGTTTGATTTTACAATATGTATGTTTGATTTTACAATATGTATATTGTTTGATTTGACGATATGTATGTTTGATTTGACAATGTGTTTATTGTTTGATTTGACAATATGTTGATTGTTTAATTTGACAATATGTATTTTGTTTGATTTGACAATATGTATATTGTTTGATTCGAACATATTTTATTGTTAAACCGACAAATGGATGAGAGACAAGTTCTCACAGCTTACGAGCCACGATACAGTTCTAACTTACAAGCTCTTCTCCACGAATACAGCATATGGATTACATTTACATCACGTGACGTACTATGTACACAGAGATAAATTTACACAAATAATAATATGGTAGATGTATTTTTGTCTAAATCAAATGTATATTGTTAACGCCCAATGTAGATGTATAATGGACCAGACACTGTCACAAAACTGCTCAACTTTTAATCCAAACATTCTCGGGTTTCAAAAAGAGTCATTTTAAGTATCGGAAGTATACTGTTAGAAATAATTTCTAGACATGAAACGGCGATTNTTCTGTAGTAAGGAATTCTCTGTATCATCTTACTTACAGACACACAGACAAGTACATACAGGAGAGAAGCCATACAAGTGTGATACCCGTAATAAGGAATTTTCTCAATCATCTTACTGACAGACACTCATACGAGTACATACTGGAGAGAAGCGCCATACAAATGTGATATCTGTAGTAAAGATTTTTCTCAATCAACTAACTTACAGACCCACAGACGAGGATATACAGGAGAGAAGCCATACAAGTGTGATATCTGTAGTAAAGAAT